GCTTGGCCCCCGCCCCGGCACGCCCATGAACGGGCGCATCCATCGGCGATGTCCACCGATCCCGTGCCTTCACTGTGAGCCAGTGTCCCCTCGTCGGCGCCCTTCCTGGGAGGGGAGTGGGGAGGAGGGCCAAGGTATCCAGAGGTTCGAGAGCGTCGAGCCAGGGGTCCACAATTTTTGTCGGACCCCGGGAGCCGTTTCTGGGCGGCCTGGGGCATGTAGTACGAATACTTGTATTTTTTTTAATCAGAATAATATTCGCAATAATGCGAACACTAATAGTAATACGACGAATGCGAATAAAAATAATGATACTACTCATGGTATTGATGATGCCAATAACGGTACGGGTAAACATATACGTGGCAATAATGAAAATCGGTCGTCAAACATGTGTCGGAAAACGGGTGGATAATCCCGACGGTCCACGATGTGAGCAAATCGCGATTCCGAGGGCCCGGCAGGAGGAGGAGGAGAAGGAGGAGGGGGAGAACCATACGAAACCGAATGTGCATCAGCGACGACTTGCTGCATTGCACCACCCTCCCGCTCCAAGCCGCCTCCTCGTGCATTCCTACACGCCCCCTTGTTCACTACAAGAAGCACCCCCTTCAATGACCAGCACCCTTATGAGCCTGCCATTCAGGCGAGAGCCCCGTTTTGGACAGGATCTGCATCATCCGGCTAGCGCGTAATCGTGATTGCGAACAGGTACACATGTAGTCCAGCGAGGTGTCCAGCTATCCAGTGGCCTTCGGCCCATCCTCCCGCTGCCGTGCTTGGGTGGTGGGTATAAGGCCAATTGGATGTTCGTTGGGTTTCGTGGGAGGCCTCTTGAATGCAGTTTGTGGGCCTTTTGGGGGCTGTTTCGGGGCCTCTTGGGGGTCCTTTCGGGGCCTCTTGGATTTTGTCTTTCACCTCTTGGGGGCCTCTTGGGGCCTCTTTGGGGCCCCTTGGCGGCTCTTGGGGCATCCTGGGCGCCTCTTGGGCGCCTCTCTTGGGCCCCTTCTGGGGGACGTCTTGGGGCCTGCTTGGGCCGTGGCTGGGCACCTCTTGGGCCATCGTGGGGCCCTCTTGGGCCGTTCTGGGGCCCCTTAGAGGCCTCTTGGGCCGTCTTGGGGCGGTTTTGGGGACCTCTACAGTCGGGCCGCTGACATAAGAAACGGTCAATAAGGACCGAAGCTCCTTCCTGGCCCCAAGAGCGCCAGCGTGCACGAGGAAGGCTGGAGGGTCCATCACAAAATGGCTTAAGGGACATCAAGCCCCTTTCGTACCCAAACGGTTCCTTACTTCAGCGTCTGTAGGGCTGTCTTGGGAGCGTCGGGAAACCAAAACGGCGAGAACGCCTATTTCCTTGAACAATTGTAGGGGTACCAGTGATGTTGGCCTCCTGGGGCCCTCTTGAGAGGCCTGTTGGAGGCCAAGGGAGGCGTCTTGGAGGCCTCTTGGGCCGTCGGGGGGGGCCACCTTGAGTCTTGGAGCGGTCGTTCGGTGACTCGGGGCCTTCTTGGACCGCCTTAGGGGGCCTCTCGAGGCCCTCTCGGCCCGGTTTGGGGCCCTCGCGGGCCCTCTCGCGCCACCATCTGGCAAAGCCCAGGAGGTACGCGAGACACCCAGGGAGAGTTGGGGGCCTGGGTCCCCTTAAAACAACCCTCACGAGTAAGGAGTGAGGCTCAGAGGAGTTAGGCAAAGGGCTTGAGGACACGCCTTCTCCGCGTCAGGCGGCACGGTGGCGGATGTCCCGTGAAAGAAGCGCACCAATCTTTGTACCTATAACACGCTGTCTCATTTCTGGTGCTTGGTTTCGAGGAAGTGCTCCAACTGGTCTACGCGGTGAAGACGAATGTGCATGGCGCGGTAAGGCAAGAGCTCAAGTGTGACAACAACAACCCGTGCTACACCCTGGTACATGTTGCAAACATGTAAGACGAATGTGCGCGGCGATAAGGCGGCAACTCCATTTTGAACACGGCCTGTGCTCCATCCGTGTAATTGCTTCACACTATAAGGACGAATGTGCGCGGCGCTGAGGCGAGAACTCCATTTTGAAAGCCCCCCTCCATCCGTGTTGCGAATGTCACACGTTAGGGTCATACATAGGGGGCTTTTACCGACACGTTTGAGGATGGGTCATCGGTGGGGGGAGTCTAGAAGTGAAGGGGGTGGTGAATGATGATGAGGATGACGATGACGACGACGATGACGATGATGAGGATGATGATGACGATGACGATGACGATGACGATGATGATGATGATGATGATGATGATGATGATGATGATGATGATGATGATGATGTTGCTGATGCTGATGAGGACGCTGATTATTACGATGATTATGCTGCTGACGTTGATGGTGTTGATGACGTCGTTGATGACGCTTACGGTGACGCGTACGGTGATGACGAGGACGACGATGACGACGGTGATGGTGATGGTGACGCTGAAGGTGACGGTGATGACGTCGATGGTGATGATGACGATGATGCTGATGATGCTGA